TTTTCATTTGCGTTTTCACGCTAAAACGGATGCGAAAACTATTAATTTACGACTGAAGCTGTAGTTTATTTAATATATTGGAGATATTTTCCTTTGAACCACGTGAACAGGGCATCAAAGCGATTAAAGGGACAAAAACGTTTTTGAAAATGCTCGAAAACGACGCCCGTGTGCACATAGCCTGAGTCCCCTACAAAACGTCAAACAGGAAACGACAAGGTTCAATATATGCAATTTTTGTTTACTTTGTTTCCAAACTGTCAGGAAACAGGAAAGAATTAAGAGAAGAGGCAACGTATCTGGCTGATGTTAGACTTAATTTAACTGTTGCCATGGTGGAAAATATTCCTCCAGACGCCATTTTGTTGCCACCAAACAAGTTTAATTGAGGAAATTGAAAATACTGTGTCTCCTTATATTCCCCTCGACGTGAAGCAGCACCAATTAAGTTTGATGATGATAAGTTCTACAAATTCTTGGTGGTCACCTTTTCTGAGTATTTTCTGTCCACAGATGATATCGATGTACTGTATGCTTCAGCAGTAAATAAACGTACCATAAAGATTATCAACAGGGAACGAAAACTGTGTCAAATGAAGAAGCAGGAGTCTCCTGAATACTATAAGGAGGCTCCTTACTGTTTTACGTCCATGTCGCGCAATTTGTTCCACGTGCGGGATTAGTAGTGCACACGCATGGTCTGAAGGCACGCGTGGCGGTTTTTTTAAAATTGTACGAACAGCTCGCGCGATATGTAAACAAACAATATTTTTACTTTTAATACGAGTATAGCATCTTTTTTGAAAAATATTTTCCGTCAGAAGTACAGTACACCTCGTGAGTTTGCAGTATTTCCTGTATTAGGAGGATTGTGTCCAAGCTCGTCAAAAAATGATAAAGAAACCCTTGAAGATAACAACAAAACTCCTCCGAAAAAAAAACGCTTTAGCGACAGAAATGCGGACGGGCGCTTCGGACATTTCAGAAATAAAAATGCTGCCGCTTTGAAAGAGTCACGAGAAATATGGGCAAAGTAACGAAAGCTCTCTCCTCCGCAGAGGCTTACATGAAGTTTCTAGTGAGGGAAGAAGTGAGCGCGCAAGGGGTGATGGGAAGAGCGAAATAAAGGAAGCCCCTGCTAGTTAATGCAATCAATATGGCGTCGTATATAATCGTTTGGAGTTCGGTTCGATAATCGATATCAACCTTCGAGGGTATTAAACATGTTTTCCACTTTCCTTTTCAGGCTTACCTGAGTCTCCTGGAGTGAATCCAATATCAATATTTTTTCTGTCCATTTGCACCGAAGCAGCTATATAATTATAAATATCCTCTTAATTTCAACATTTTTTATAAAAATGACTCTACTGACCTTCGATACTCGGATTATGAAGATTTATTTCAATTTCTTCCACACTTCCGTCGATTTCAAGTTTAAAAAAGGTCAAACGACTGGTTTGGTTCAAAAACCATACTTCGTTGCATTATGTGGCAGAGCCTTCTCGGCTTCATTTCAATCTTCCCATCACACCGTGCGCGCTTGCTTTTATTCAGGAAACTTCATGTAAGTTATTTGTAAATACTTAAGGAGGCTCTGCGGAGGAGAGAAACGAAAGCTTACCTTTGACCCAGATACAGACGACAATGCAAAACTGTCAGCAGTTGACAGTTATGCGAAGCGACGAACACGAAGCTCGATGCCGATGGTATGTTTTGAAAATGTTTTTGAATATCGGTTAAAATGTCACATTTTTCCTGGAAGCAAAACGCCAACATAACTAGAGATTAAACCAAAAATGAGTTTATATTTCACATTACGTCGATACAAATTTTGGGACTCGTATTATAGACTTGAATGTAACTCAGGTAACATGTATAGAATTTTACACAAGTAGTTTTCAATGTATAAGCATGTAACAATCAACACTTGTGATTATTTCAATAAAAAACAAAATAAGTAAGCAAGGCTTGTTATAGGAAATAGTAATGTTGAGAATTTGTTTTTATCATGTCTTCTTTATTAACTGTTAAGTAATTTAAATATGTATGGACGTGCATGTGTTTTTGAGCTCCTTATTTTTTGTGTGTATTTTCTTGTCTTTTGGTCCTGAGGTTGTTGGATTTGGCTGTTCCTTCGACAGGAGAAGCTTCTGCTTCAACAGATATCGTGTTTGAAGGGGAAGGTTATGAAATTAAGCTCGAATTTTCAAGTTTACTGGTCGACTTTTACAAGTTACTTAACCATGAAGAACGGGATTGGACGCTATTAGTTTAATTTACTACGTTTGCTAGTTCGAGAACTGTCGCTTTTAACAGTGAATTAAGCGGTTGTGATTGCTTGTTGGAGGAATATGTTTTTGATAAACAATATTTTGGAAATGAGCAAGAAATACTACGAATTTATGTCTTGCCCTTTTGTTTCACGACGGTGTTCAACCAAGCTAATCGTGCCCAGATTTGCATCCTGTTGGAACGTACAGGTCGGGATTTGTTCTTAATTGGGCCGGATTCGCTTTATGAATTTAAGAAACGAAAGCTATCTAAATCTAGAGCTATGTATTATTCAAATTCAACTGCGACAAGAAGATTGTTATTACTATTTGGTGATGTCGAACAAAACCCAGGATGGGAAAGTTATCAACCCAAAACTCAACAATCAGTAATAGAAGAGAAGTTCTGCCATTAATTTAAGTATTCCCTTGCGTATTACTGAAAGAATGAATTTACATCCGCAATGGAATGTATTTCGGAGCCAATCAACTGTATCAGCGTCAATATTAATAATAGTTTGCTCTTACCTAACCATTTCAAAAACCTTAGCTTTTGCCTTATGAATACTCGATCACTCAACAATAAAGCGGCCGCTGAGTTTACGGATTTCACATGTGATCATTAACCTGATATTGTTGCTTTAATTAATTAACCGAAACCTGGTTTCATGAACATGAAACTGCTGCTAGATCCCTCAGCACGCCCACAGGCTATAAACTCTTGGACCACCCACGATCCGGCCGGCATGGTGGTGGCACTGGAGTGCTGTTCAGGAATAATTTGACTGTTAACAGAGTATCCGCTGCAGAACTCCGATCTTTTGAATACTCTGAGTGGAATATAAAAGCAGTGTCCCGGCGAATTCGTCGAGTCGTTGTCTACAGAATACCATACTCCGATATTCATCCCATATCTACCTCAATATTTTTTGATGGGTTTGCTAACTTCCTTGAATCTGCGGTCCTCTGTACTGACCAGCTCTTGATGACTGGTGACTTCAATATACATGTTGATGTGACTGATGACGTTGATGCCGTCAAACTTCAGGAGCTTCTCGAGAGTACAGGTCTACAGCAACATGTCAATGTCCCAACTCATATCCGTGGACATACTCTTGACCTCATAATAACAAAACATTCCGAAAATATCGTTACTTCTCCACCTCGAACTGATTACCTATTTTCAGATCATATGCCTGTTCATTGTAACCTTCTAGTTAACAAACCTTGTCTTAAGAAAACTCATATATCCTACAAGAAAGTTAAATCCATCAATGTCGATGCTCTCCGCAACGATCTCTCCAACTCAGATCTCTGTAAGAACATGCTTTCAATGGAGCTCAATGATCTTGTTGACTGTTATAACCATACATTGTCATCATCATTTGATCGACATGTACATGTGAATCGCAAAACAGTTGTAAAAAGACCGACTGTTCCTTGGTTTAACGAGGAAGTCAAGTTAGCCAAAAGAGCACGAAGACGAGCTGAAAAGAAATGGAGACGGACTAAACTGTATAGTGACTTCCTTGTTTATAAACCTAAGAAAAACCAAGCTACTTTTGTAATGAAACGCGCACGTAATCAGTGCTACACCACCTTCATACAACAGAATAGCAGCGATCGTCGTAAACTGTTCAAGTCTGCCAAATTTCTTTTTAATCAAGAAACTGATTTTCATTTTCCAGAATACTGCGATAATACAGTCCTTGCGAATGATATACGTGACTTCTTCGCCAAGAAAATCGACTGCATTAGACAGGAACTTGACAGTGCAACTACCTACGACAACCCTACAAGTGAACCACAGATCATGCCTAATGTTCAACTGGACTCGTTCAAGACATTGACTGAGGATGATGTTAACCGAACCGTGCTCCACTGCCTGGATGCCGGTAATTACAAGAATGATAAACTTGTCACTGCAATCCGGATGTTTCTCTGAGAATTGAAAGCTGGCTAAAGTCCATCCAAGCCTAAAGAAGGCAAAAGCTGAGGTGATATTTGATAATTGTTTCCAAACTCACGGAACGAGTTGTCTTTAATCAAACTCATGATCACCTTACCGCTCACAAACTTTACCCTAAAGCTCAATCTTCCTACCGTCAATATCATAGTACTGAAACTGCTCTTCTACGTGTGAAAAATGACATCTTGATGAACATGAATAAACAACACGTAACTCTTTTGGTACTGCTTGATTTAAGTGCAGCATTCGATACTGTTGACCACACCATCCTGCTGAATCGACTACGTTCTAGCTTTGGTATCACAGGTCGTGTACTGTATCTTTGGTATCACAGGTCGTGTAAAAATATCTCAATGTATTTCTATCAACGGTGGTGAATCCAGATCATTTGAAATGAAGTATGGTGTTCCGCAAGGGTCTTGTCTTGGTCCCACTCTCCTCCGCAGAGTCTGAATTATATAGGATTTGTAGGGATAGTAGAGGATATTTAGTGGTACGCGACGGAGGGGTGAGATCGATAGTTCACAAAATGTAACGAAGCTTCCGTCTTCCCATCATACCTTGTGTAATTTGCCCCCCCCCCCCTTAATATTACGTAATTTTACTAAAAATTCGTAAGGCTCTGCGGAGGAGAGTGTCTTGGTCCTGTCTTGTTTGTAATTTATTCAAGCAAACAGTTTACTATTCTTGAAAGTCACCTACCAGATGTCCATGTATTTGCGGACGACTCGCAATTATACATTTCATTCTAAGCTGCCTCTATGATCGAACAATCCGCTGCCATTAAGGCAATGCAACATTGCATCACAGACATCAGAAAATGGATGCTAGCAGACAAACTGAAGCTAAATGATGATAAAACGGAGTTCATCATTATCGGAACAAGGCAACAGTTGGCAAAAGTAAGTGTTGATTCACTATGCATCGGAGACGAAATTATCAAACCATCTAGCGTAGTAAAGAATCTCGGCTCCTGGTTCGATACGCAACTGAAAATGGGCTTACACACATCAATAAATGCTGTAAAGCAGCATTTTTCCATCTATTTAATATCAGACGTATTAGGAAATTTCTCAGCTTTGATACTACACAAATTCTTATCAACGCTTTGTTACAAGTCGACTTGACTATTGTAACAGTCTCTTGTATGGTCTGCCCGCCAATCCGATTTACAAACTCCAACGAGTACATAACTCCGCAGCAAGACTGATTTGCAATATTAATTGGTTTGATCACATCACCTCTGCGCTGTATAAGCTACATTGGCTGCAGATACAGAATTAACTTTAAAATATTACTTATCACTTATAAGGCAATTGATGGTCTCGCTCCTGAATATATTTCTGAACTCACCAAATTCAAGGCTGCATCCAGATACAATCTACGATCATCAACTGAACTGTTGCTTGAGAAACCGGGAACAAAAACATTAACCACTTTGGGCGACCGATCCTTCCAAGTGGCTGCACTTACGCTGTGGAACAACCTCCCAGCGGAAATTCGTAACGCCTGCAATGTTGCAAGCCAAGGAAAAAAACATAGCAGCCAAACACCATGACTGTCGAAAATATCATTCAGCATCATCTAAAGCAATGGAGCCTGATTCAGCTGTAGAAATGTTTAACAATGCTCTAAACGACAATGTAAAATTTACTTCTTACATTGGTGATGATGATTCCACCACTGAAGCCCACATTCGGCAGAATGTTTCGTATAGTGTTGAGAAACTGAGTGATGTTGTGCACACAAAAAGATCACCACCTGGTGTCATTACATATGGTAAAGATCTATATGGCGAAGATTTGAAAGCTACCCTACAACAAATATTTAATGAATACAGTACTAATGTTGTAGCTGAAAAGTTATGCCCCCTCAACTGACTCGCAAAGAAATTAATCATCCCCGAGCCGACGGCGCGAAGCGCCGTGCGAGGGTACTAATTCCCCCGGCTATTTACACCCGGGGAAACGAAAGCATTAGCGAAGTCTAAAGTTCATCAAATATTGCGGGCGTCTGTCACCAACGATGGTGAGTGGGTGGTCATCCCCACTGATCTAAAAAATATGGCTGGTTGCTTGTAGGAGTGGGATGAGCAAGATTTCAATTTTAAAAGACATATATTTGGGAAATCGTTTCATATACAACAAGCTTGAAGTAATTTTGTTTGAAGAAATGAGAAGAATTTATTTACTATGGGAAATCGTGAAATATACGGCAAGTTTCCTTTGAATATTTAATGTTTACAAATTTTGTTGCTTTAACTTTTTGGCTAAAAACATGAACTGTTTTCCTTTTCAACAAAGCTCTCAGTTTCATAAATTACCGTTTAATTTGAGGAAAAATCTTAAAATGTAAAGGAGAACAAATTGATTTGAAGACTGAACTGAAATTACCTAACAATTTGTTTTATTTGTAACTTATTATGTTTTATTATTAGTTTATCGGCAAATGAACTATAGTTGAATGAAGATTTCAAAACATTTTACGAAGCGTTTCAAGTTAAATTTTACATTAAATCAAAGCTTATAAAATGCAAAATAATATACCTACAGTATATATTTCGGAAATTTATTGTTGTATAGTTAAAAATACGAATCTTTCAACTATTTTGCCGTTTTGTACAAAAAAATATGAAAAAATTAAAAATTTAAGAATATCGTGTTGTCATGGCAACACTTGAGCGCGAGCCTGCATTCAGTGGTCCATTTCTGAATACTTCATGTTAATTTAATGTTTGGAAAATATTGGCGAGGGGTTACTGCATGCATGTATTTCTAGTTAAATGGTATCGTTGGGCCAAAGAATCTAAAAATACGGTTTTATGGAGGGGAAGCGAAAGTAACGACTTGCATGTAGCTTGTGGGGTTTGCACAAACCAAGCTGAGCTACCGGTATGGCTATATAAGTGAAACACTGGAAGCTTTAAATATTGAGCCAGGAACATTTTGTGAACACTTTAATGAAAAGATGACTCAAAAAGTAAATCATGATAAAGCAAGACAGTCAACTGTAGTTTCTAAACGAAGAAGGCACGAATGCCGTCTCGAACAGTAGCACATGTTATGGACTACACAAAAAGAGTTATGGACCACACGAAAAGAGGCCGAAGAGGGAAACATACCAAACTTCAGTTGGTTTGGACCTCTATCCCAATGCAAGTATTAACAACAGTATATTGCCCCCCAATAAGTAACATGAAGATCAATCTGCAAAGAATGCCAGCAAATGTACTTAGGGAATTGAAAATTTAGTTCCGCCACATATGCTCGTCGTCCTCAAGCAGAAAAACCTCCGTTTCATGAAAATGAAATATTATTAATTTTTTTTGTCTTTTACATCGAAACAAATACCATGGGTAAATTGGCAAAAGTTTGCCAAATTGCAGTCGCAGACAAACCCGGTTCAAACACACTTTCCCAGTACATTTTACTTAACACACGATATAATTCAACCTCGTACCCAGGCTCTTTCCACTACGCGCCTCGCTGGAGGAAAGACCCTGGTCCAGGCTGGTCACGTGTCTCCCAGATTTTGGGAGATAACAAAATTTTTACATAAGGGTGGGGGGCTAAGTTTGTTTTACCGATCTAGTTGCTGATATCAATGCGATAAAGTTCAGAGTGTGTGTATTTTAACAAATGCATGTAATTTTAATGAATAGTAACAGCCTGTGCTGCAAAATCAATGGGTGAGATGTCTTTGTATATGTATTCTTTGTGGATTGCATTTGGGATGTCGCTATGCAAGATCTACATGCTGGAATCTTTCAGTTTCATATTGGAAAAATCACAAAGAATTACTAGGAAAGGATTTGTAATATACTCGAGGACAAGCAAAGAACATTTGCCTATAGCAGCCAACAGAGAGTCTATTGTAAATTGCCGTAAATTTTAATCATGAGTGGAACGGCTCGA